CTAAAACTACCATTTTCTGTTTATTTAATACCGAAAACACCCTAATGGACATTCTTTTCTACGGTGACATTCAAGGCGAAAACACGTTTCACAGCCACGCTACTTCTGGCGTAGCAACTTTTAATTTACAAGTAAATAAATTACATTTCGATTCAACGCAATTAGAATCGGACTTGATTGTTGTGAAATAATTACAAGTTAATTCGCATTGTAAAACCCAATCAAAAGTCGACTGGAATCAGAAACTCATTGGGAGAAAATGGACAATGAAAGGAAGTAATTACATTTTAATGTTCCATTGACAAGTAGTGAGTGCTGGTGACTTCAATGTTGTTTTAAATTGGACAAACAAAATAGAATCTTGCTTATTGAATCATTGTTATCATCAATCTAAATTTGCTCACTTGGATCATGCATTTCAATTGATTAGAATACATTTGGAAAACAAGAATTCAATAGATTTTCAGATAGTATTTGTGTTTCTTTCGTGTCGACAAACCTAACCTCAAAAATGTTCTTTGCTGTGTCGGAAATGTCAAATTCTTTTCATTGATTCCAAGCCTCGATTTCATGTATTACTTTACATTAAAGCCGTCAAATGACTGCTGCTAGCGACGTCTCACTGCGACAACGTCAACTACAGTATACACCGTGCACTTCTTCTTCTTCTTCTTAACTTATGCCACTTTTTTCTGTTGTGAGTATGAAGCTTACGTTGTCGCAGTGAGATGTCGCTTCAGCACCATATGGAAAAAGAAATCAAGACTCGATTGATTCTAAGGCAATCGACGAAAAGTGCTGTAAACAAAAGACACAGCTCTGATGAGCCACTGGAATCGAATGGCCGGATGGCGTCTGTAACTCCGAATAACGTTCAGTCGGCTGATGCATTCGCTATCAAACAGGAGCCAGTACAGGTGGGCGTTCTGCGATTACTTAATCACTTGCACAATCATTTTTCGGATGATTAAGATGGCACTTAATCACTTAATCGCTATTAATCATGATTAAGTGATTGTGCAATTGATTAATTAATCATCGATGATGATTAAGTTGTTGTCTTAATCACGATGTCACCGTGATTAACTGTGACAACTTAATCATGATTAAGTAAATAGTTAATCATGATTAAGTAAATTCTTAATCATGATTAAGATGTGATTAACGAAATGATTGTGTAGAATTAATTAATCATGATTAAGTAAATTTACTTAATCATGATTGTGTAAATAGTTAATCATGATTAAGATGTGATTAACGAAATGATTGTGGAAAATGGGAATCATTTTCAACATTTCTGCATTTATGGCGTCTAATGATTAATTAAATCTACACAATCATTTCGTTAATCACATCTTAATCATGATTAACTATTTACACAATCATGATTAAGTAAATTTACTTAATCATGATTAATTAATTCTACACAATCATTTCGTTAATCACATCTTAATCATGATTAAGAATTTACTTAATCATGATTAAGTTGTCACAGTTAATCACGGTGACATCGTGATTAAGACAACAACTTAATCATCATCGATGATTAATTAATCAATTGCACAATCACTTAATCATGATTAATAGCGATTAAGTGATTAAGTGGTCGCATTAATCATCGCGAATTTTAGGTGTTTGATTAAGATTAATTAATCTTAATCAAATAGTCCGCCCATCTGTATGAGCCAGTGTCTGTTGGTGAATTGGTTGACGTTTCGGTATCGACTCATCGCAGTGCGGTACGTGTCCCTGGTTTCAATGAACGTGACGCTGAATACGATTTTGATCACTTGAGCTGGGACGAGGTTAACCCTTTGACGACCAAGATTGAACGGATGGGAATTTTGCAATTCTGATTGCAGATTCGTGCTCAGCGACCCCAAAAACCACAATAAAAATGTTATCAAAAATTAATTTTTTTAACTAGAAATATGAAAAAAATGATGGGACATATATGTCCCATTGGTCAGTAACGGTAACTACCTTTGTATGGAAAAAAATATGTCTCCCATAAGAACTACGTGTAAAATCTTTTTCGTTTTTAAAATATTCAGAATTGTTTTGAACCGAAAATGGTTTGAATTGTGCTTTGTTGTGCCCATTTAATCACGAATTTAATGATATTTTTGTAAATTTTTGTGTTTGAAAATTCGCGAATAATGGCCAAAATACAGGGAAATACGGGGTATTTATTTACCTTTACCGACCAATGGAACACATATGTCCCATCGCGCCAAACGCAATAAAAAGTGGAAAAAACGTTTTTTCTAAATAAAGTCGATGATTTTTGGAAAGTAATGGACATTTCGCACATTATTCCAAATTTTCAGCTTTAAAAGTTCCACCGTTAAAATTATATAGCATTTGGCCAAAGTTGGAAAAAAAGTTAAGATTTTTTGACTTTAGAGTGTTCTATCCAATTGCGTTTACAATAAATATCCAATATTATGGTACTTTCTGATAGCTACATTAATTCTCTTTCAAACGAAACCAATTTTACTAAAATTGGTTGAAAAATGTAGTTATTACAGATGAAAAACAAAATGGGACATATGTGTCCCATTGGTCGTCAAAGGGTTAAGGCCGAGGTGAAGAACGAATGTGACGAAAAGAAAGAAGAGAAGGTGAAGACAAGTGCTGATAACGGGGAGCAAGCAATGGATAACCAGCAGGACCAGCATCCGCCATCACAGAATAAAGAATTTTCGCGCCCACCACAAAGTGACACTGAGGCACACAACACACAGCAACGAGGCAGTAAAGCTCATGGAAACACATCAAAGCCACACAAATGTGAGTTTTGTGAATATTCCGCTCAATATAAGTTCCTTTTAAATCGACACATGTTGAAACACACTGGCGAGAAGCCACACGGATGCACCCTTTGCCCGAAACGTTTCACAAATAATCGAAGTCTCCGTGCTCATATGAAAGTTCACGTCGAAGAGTTTTTGTTCCATTGCTTGGGCTGCTTGCAAGGATTCGATGGAAAGGAAGAGAAGACAGAACACGAAGCCAATTGCAAAGTTGTCCGCTATGAATGTTATTTGTGCAAGAATTCGTTTGGTTCATTCAAGACACAGATGGTGAAACACATGCGCGTACACAGTGGTGACAAACTGTTCGAATGTAAAGAATGTTTCAAGCAATTTTCAGAGAAAGGCAGTCTAAGCAAACACATGAAGCTTCATGCCGGTCCACGTCCATTCCGCTGTTCAAAATGTCACGAAAGATTCTCAGATCAAGACGAAAGAGATTCACATGAGGAGGTTTGAAAAAATCCCATTTGATTCGTCATATGCACACTCACTCTGGTGAAACCCCGTTCCAGTGTACAGAGTGTCCAAGAAAATTCTCTCGAAAAAGCGATCTCAAGAGGCACATGATCACACATACAACAAAGCTTCCATTCAAGTGTTTGATTTGTCACCGCGGTTTTCTGAAGAACGACAAACGGAAGGCACACCAACGAAACTGCAATGGACGCAATTACGAGTGTTACTTGTGCAAGAAGTGGTTTCGTTCATCCAACGAGCAATTGAAAGGCCACATGCACACACATTCAGGCGAGAAACCATTCCGCTGCAACCTGTGCCGCACAACATTTACACAGAAATCGAATTTGAACAGGCACATGAAGAACATTCATCGCAAGCAATAGTGAACGTCAAGATTCGATTGCACTGATATTACCAGGAGAGTCAGACAACGTTTATTTTTAATCGAATCAACTTCATTGAATGAACAAAAAGAAATCATATCGAGAAAATTCCAATATTCTAAAAATACCTATGTCAAGTACAGTCAATATCGTATGGTCGATAAATCAATTTAGATTTAGTTTTTTTATTTATACAATCTTACAACAATA